ACTTGAAAGCACCCCTCTCTCCTCCCCCAAAATGTCTTGAGTTGGCTAACTTGGCCACTGACTCAGATATTGGTTCATGTAGTCCAGTGGTTCATATCCAGTAAATACCTGTTCTGCATATACAGAAGAAATCAGGGTTAACTGAATTGTTATGACAGACGGTGAATTAGCTGGCTGTATTGCACTATATGTCTGCCTGGATTTTACCACAGAGTGCCAGAGAGCTTTCTTTGGGGCTGTTGATCTTTTGAGTCCTACCTGGAAAAGTAAAGAATTAAGTCCAGGTTTCTTTATACCTCAAGTAAGTGTCCAGTGGTGGAACTACAGCTTTCTTTAAAAAAAGCACAACACATTTATACCAGTCTATTGTCCCTCTCTGCATTAAGGTTGGGCCATGGGGCTGACACCTTCCATTGCCAAAGGCATCTGAAATGATCATCCAGGAGTAAGAGAGAAACAGACATAAATCCAGTCAGATTAATGAAACTTTTTGTCATGCTACAATTGAGGGAATTCAGCAAGATGGATGTGCAACTGAGCATAGAGTCTCTGTGATGAGTGATTGATGCCTAAATGTGATTGATGGATAAATAGATAAATTGAGAGTGATAATTTTGTTATTCTTTTGACAGGAAATTATTCTTCACAACAAAATGGTGATTATTTTCCCCCCAAAACACATGGCTATCTGAAGAGGGGCTTCAGTGCTTCCCCCTTAAGAGTCTCCCCCCCTTAAGACCATTCCGATGTTTATATCTGAGCTGAAGATGAATGTAGAGTTTTGTTGGGGGTCTTCGCTCTCCCTTCCTTCCCTTGCCTTAATGATCTGCCTGCCTCTTCCCCAGGAAGGTTTTAGATGCAAGAGCACCTGCATTCATTCTGATGGCGGAGGAAAAGCATAGGGGAGGAACTGAAACACTTTTTGTGCCTCAGTGGTTTATTTCAATTGACATCCTCAGCTTGGTTACTGCATTGTTTATATCCCACCTTTATTGTTTTATAAATAACTCAAGGTGGAGAAAACACATACAATAATTCTTCGTCCTCCCATTGTCCCCACACTAATAACCCTCTGAATTAGGTTGAGGTGTGAGAGAGTGACTGGTCAAGTCACCCATCTGACTTTCTTGAGATTAGAACTTGAGTCACCCGGCTTCTAGACTGGTGACTTAACCAATGTGTACAATGCCTTGAACTAATCAAATGGGTTGTGTTTGCATAACAGGTGTGTGTGTGTATACACACACACACATGTGCGTGTTATTGGGACACATACACAAACATGTCCCCACATCTCCAAACACAAAGAGTTTGGGGGTACATGCAACCCCCCAATCAAAGTTAACACTAACTAAACTTAGTATATTTTGCAAATACATGTACCAGGCTCTTACCAGACCTGGTTAAGAGTGATATGTAAATTAGGTCAATGAGACTTTAGAACATTGAAATGCTGATTGGAATATCAAAGAATCAATTACATGTTCATATTCTCAGAGGCACTTGAGCACAATTTCTTTCTGAACCATGTAAGAACGGAGACCATAAAGAACTCAAAACTTCATGAGGCCATCGGGGAGTTTGACTCTTGAGTATGTGTATGTATGTATGTATGTATGTATGTATGTATGTATGTATGTATATATATATATGACTAACAGCTTTTTTTTTCTTACCAAAGTTTGTTTTATTTAAAGAAAGAAAAAAATGGTCTAGGTAAAGGATATAAAACAATAACAAAAGTCTGTGATCATCTGTAGGACAGACATCTAAGGTTTGCCCAAGTTTAGTGGGAAGAAAATGTTTTCAGTTAAAATTAAATATTATGCCAGAATATTACATATTATATATATTTGGAAATATTATTCCCCAAAATATGTGGATTGTACTCCAAAAAAGCGGAGCTGAGTTCTGATTATCTACCCACTCATTTCAGAGAATGCTCCATTCAGTTTAAGGAAATTTGCATCTGGAACGAACATCTATATGATTACAATGTTATGTTGCAAAAATAACAAAAACTTTCATTGCACTTCAAAACTTAACACAGCTATCTTTCTTGTTAACTTAAAAAGAACTAATGATATTAACTGGCCTTTACTCTCAAGTAAGAGTATAAAAACTGCAGTTGTGGGTGAGAATTAGTTGAAAACAAGTCTTATTAAATTCCGGAATTTACTTCTAAGTGAGGCTGTCCAGGGAGGGGCCAAAATACATTTTTAATTTATGCTGACAAAAATTTACTCATGGTGGGATATTTGGCTGAAGGACTGGTGTAATATTCTTGGGCCTGCAGTCTTTGGCACCTTTAATGGTTAAAAAAAGTCCACTAAACCCTACCAATTTTAGTTCTGAGTAAACCTATATAGAACTCTGCTGTTACATAATAATTTTTTTCAAACCATGCATTTGATACAAATAGCTGCACTAGACTGAAAGTACTCGGAATTGTTTAAACATGTCTCTTGATTAACGTATCTTCGTTCCTTCATTGGGAAGGTCCTGCTTCCTGTTGTTTCAGTTTAGAGATCATTTTCTTAGAAAAAATAAAGAAAAATAGAAAAGAGGTCTCCAGACAGAATTAAATTTTCTTTTATTTCAAAGGGAGATTTAAGTATGTATCAATGTCCAAATGCAAAACAGAAAATATTTTTTAATGTTTAGATCATGTTTTTAAGCTTGTATGAGGCCTATAAGGTGCCAGATAAATTTTCAGTGACTCATAAGAATGACTGCAACTACTATATTAAGAGCAAAGAATTAGAGTAAATACCTATTGTTGAATGGTGGATTATTGTGCCAAACACTACCAAAATAGTGGGATTCTCTCCTAGGATTTCATTAGTTCTTCTATTTATATTTTCCAATCTGCTTTATTTTATTATTTATTCTATCTTGTAAATTTCCCAGATTGTCTTTGCAAAAAAAAAAGCTACCTGCCACTGGATTCCACAGATTAAACAGGAGGCCTCAAAGGCCAGATGTGATTTTACCAAATTATTTAAAATAATCATTGCCCAAACATTTAAAAAATACATTTTTTTAAAAAAAAATCATATAAATTATATTTGGATATTTAGAGTAATATACAGTATCGGGTTTTCTTTTTCTTTTTTTTAAAGTGAGAAATACTAACTCTGCAAAATGAAAGTTAAAAAGACAATATAATTTGCTGTTTAGAAAGTAGAAGATACAGATTTAATAATGTAGGAAAGCTAAAAAGATAAAGTTGGCATAGAGAAAGAAAAAAGTAGGAGACTGACTTTGCAAGTTTTTTCCTGACCCATTGAAAATGGCGTATGGGGGGGGGGGGGAGAAATTCAGAAGGGAATTCTATTCTTACAAGCATTGACTTTCTAGTAAAAGCTTTGAGCTTCTTTTACATTTGCATAATTGGTCCTCTTTATTTTGCATCCTTGCAAAAATATACAAAGTTGCTTTAAGATAAGGAGAAGATCCTAGAAATATTATCGGGTTGATAACCAGGTTAAATTGGGTGATAACGAGCAACAAAGAGAAGTCAGCTTGCTTTAATATGGAAAGGCCTACTCATTTTAGGAACAGTAGGAGAGGCCTCTAAAAGCCACATGGGGAGAGATTACACCTAAAGTGTTTGTGATCTTGTTTCTTATCCTTTTGTTACTCCCACACACTCTCTCTAAATTAGTAAATTAAATGTTTACAATATGGCTGTGGTTTTTATGCAATAATGTGCAAAATTCAGGATCTGCCTAAATCCATGCAGTGTATTTTTTACCAGATCTGTGTAGAGTATGTATTTGTTTTTGTATTTCAGAATTCTTGTCATTTCAATTAAACTCCTGGGGGGAAAAAGCCCAACCTTGAGAATAAGGATTTAAAAAAAAAAAAAATCTTCTGAAACCCAGTCGCAGTGAGTGACTATAGGGCTACCTATGTATGTATATGCATGTATGTGTGTGTGTGATATGTGCATTATGTTTATGTATACATACATAAAATGGAGGGTGGGAAATCGCCTCAGAAAATGAAATCTCTTAAAGGGAAAGAGGGAGAACGAATCCCTTTTGAAAAGGGAAAGGAAATAGAACAGGAATGGGGGAAATTCGCATTCCCTCGGAAGCGGCATTCCCAGGGAGGCAAGCCAGGCGCAGCAGCTTGCCATCCCGACGGCAGGAGCAGAGGAAAGCTAGCCCTATTTTTTTTACCTGTCGAGGGCGGGAGGTCGGGCTCCGCCGGTTCTTCACCACCAGCACCAGAGTGTGGGGCAGAGATCTCGTCCTCACCACCTTCCTGATAATTTTCAACAGGCAACGCTGCAGGAACGGCGACAACCTCTCGCCCCGCACGCCTCGTACGAGACACTTGACCTGGCCGCCCATGCCTGGCATCCACGGTGAGGTCTTGGGCTGGTGGGTCGGTCGGTCGGTGGGTGGGTGGGTGGGGGCGTCTGGCGGGAACACGTGGCGGAGATCTGTTTTTTATGCCGGGCAAGATGCTCGTCACTGTACGGGGGGCGGGGGGGGGGGGGGGGGGGCGGACCCGTTCTCGGAGCTGCTCCAGTCTCTCGCAGCGACAGGTTTAACACCCGGGCCAAGAAGATCCTTAAACGCGCGAGGCGCAGAGCAGAGTCGGCTTTGCTTTTATCCTTTCCTCCTCTTCCTCCTCCGTGCTATTAAAAAGATAAAAAAAAAAAAGAGAGAGATGATCGGAAAAGAAAAAAGGGGGAGGGAGGGGGGTATCGACGCGCGTTGCGGAGCTCCGGGATGCAGAGCCAAGACCCGCCTCTCGCTCGCCGCCCCTCTCGCCTTCTCCAACTGGAGGAGGAGGGAGGAGGAGGAGGAGGGGAAAGGGAGAGGGGAGGGACGAATCTCTCTCTCTCTGCTCCGGCGACCGCTCTTTGAAAAAAGGCGACCGATCAAGCGACGCGCTCTCGCTTTGCATGTTTTTCAAAAGTCGCTTTCTGCCGCCTTCGGCCCACTCGGACCCTCCCCTCCTTCCCTTTGCTCTTCTCCCATCCCCACCCCCACCCCCACCCCGCGTACTGTCTCTTTAGCTAAGCGAGGGGTGGTGTTGGTGGAAAGAACCAGGTCAGAAACGCTCGTTTGAATCAGCAGACCCATTGCAATGGCAATAGCAGCAGCAGCAGCAGCAGCAGCCGTCGCTTGCGATCGCCGCCTCGCTCACTTCCTTTCAATGGCCCAATGGCGCGGGAGAGGCGGCGCTAGATCTAGCAATAGAGGTCCGCGCGCGCCAAACAAAAAGTGTCAGCAATTGCTGTTTTGAAAATCGGCTTTTTTTTTTTTTTTGTAAATAATTCGCAAGCGCTCGTTTCCGCATTTCGGGATTCTTGACTCTTCCCGAGCCGGTGCTTTTGTCCGGGAAAGTCTCGGGAAAGCAGCAAAACGAAGGTCTCCTTTTAAGGATTTACTTTATCCGATTTGGGTAAACGACCATCCCTTGATGATCTCTTCCCCCACCTTTCCAGAAAGAAAAAGAGACAGCAAAAGTTCAAGTCTTTCAAAAGTAAACTTGAAGGGTGGGGAAATGCGATGCAAAAGACGGTTGCGTCCTCTTGTTTGACAGTGGCGGGAGTGGTTCCCTGGGGAATCTTTGGAGACCTTTGGATTGGAGATCGGCCAAGTCAGCTGAGGTGTGTCTGTTTATTTTTCCTCCCGTTGGACGTCTGCTTTCCTTGCCTCCTTTAAGGGCGGCTTCATCGACCTGCTGCGATGTGACGAGGTAAGTCTCCATTAATCTCCATCGCACAAAAAGGATCTCCAGGCCTCGTCCGTTATTGCAGAGGGAAGAAAACGGTGGTTCTTAAGTCTGGCACGAACTAAGGAGCGAATCGTACTTTCCTTCCGATCGATATTAAATCTTCGGTGAATTTTGCAAACGGAGAGGATGAAAGACAAAGCGAGTATATTTTTTGGTTTACTGACATTTCCGTATCCGCGCTGTTCCGGGCATTTACAGTAGAAGAGGGTGAATCACGAGCACAAGCGAAGGTGTCCGATCTCTTCTGAACGTTTTGCTTTCAGTTAGAAGTGAGAAGTTTTCTGGTTTTCGGATTTATTTTACCCGGCTTGAGTATGCCTTCAGAGGTGTCTCTACTTAGGCACAGGCAATAAACTATGTGATGATCTCACCGTGTATTAAATTATTACTGGAGGGAGGAGTCCTGTTTTACTGTGACTCAGTAAAACAATAACAAAACTGTTACACTAATACTTACCCTTAACCAAACTACACATTGACTGATTTCAGCGAAAACACATTATTTCTAGAGTAATGACAGACAGACAATATGAATTTCTCATTGATAATCCAGACGATTACAGCATCCCTTCACCTCTCCTTTAAAAATAAATATATATCTGTAAATACCCTTTCTATGAGGAACATAGGCTTACAGGTTACAATTTACTGTCAAAAATATATTTTTTTCTCTTTCCCAGGTCACAATATTCCCAAACCCTTCTTCCCATTTTATCTTCAGAAATTCTCCCTTTTTTGAGCCTACTATCTTGCCTTTATGGTAAAAGTGATTTTAAAGTTCTTCCTGCTCCCAAAATTTTGTTTTTGTTCAATATTGGTTTATTTCCATCACATTCCTTTTTCTTTGTCTGAGAGAAAAATATATTTCCAGGGAGGAGGGGGAATCCTGTGCCATGTTGAAGTATTGCTGCTACATGTGAAGTTAAGCTTTAGAAAATGCCGAAAATGTTGGTATACTACTTATGAGCTTTTCTAGAGTAAGTCAATGAAAATAATAAGCTGTTGTATCACCCCAAGACTCAACAATACCCTTTAAGTGACTTTGCCTTTGAAGACAACTCCGAAATTCCAGCCAGTAGCCACATTGGTGTAACATGGTAACCAGGCTGTTAGCTAGGGCAATTGGCTACTGAAGAATTATATATATATATTCTTACATTATTGCAGTGGTTGTCAATTGTTTTTTGTCCTGTCAAATTACTGGTCCCCTCCCCCCCCCAAAAAAGCTTATATGGCACAGCATTAGCTACATGAGAGATGAAGTGTTTTACTAAGATTAATTCCATCCGTATAATTTGGTCATCTAGGAAAGGCTATCTGAGAATCCTGTCCTGTATGGATATTTATGTTCTTGAAAATCCTCTCTCTGGAATAGTTAAATATTCCTCTCTTTGGAATACTTAACTTCCAGAACAATGGCTGGATGCAAGTCTCCTTGCATTTTGAAATATTGTTTTATTTTAACTAACCTTCCGCCCCATAGCATGTTTGCCTATGACTTTGTGTTCTGATTTTTATCTTAAATTATTGGGGGAGGGGGGAATCTGTGTTTTTGTTTGCTGTGCACCTCTCAGGATGATTATAAAACCAATAACTAAATCAATAAAGAAGCTAGCCTTGCTCTCAAAATATTTAAAAGTGTGGGTGCAAGAGAGAGCTTGTACATGCTCCAAATGTGAATCTTTTATTATATCCCTTCAGGACAAGTTTTTGAAGATTTTTTCTGATTAATATTTGTCTAAAACTTCTTTAATTAAAATGGGGGGGGGAAGGAGGGTCTGTGAGGAAGAGAAAAGCCAAACATGAGACTTGGCATGGGGTTTTTGAGCTTCATACAAGGAAGTGATGACATTGCATAAAGACATTACAGTTTTTCATTCAGCCATCTTAATACTAATGTGAGTGTAGGCCTCAGCCTGGCTCTCTTTATACAGCACTGTTCTGTCTGATTCAACTTACTCCTACTTTTGTTTTAATTTGTCCTTACCTAATTACTTTGCTTTTACAACCAAAAAAAAAAAAAAAGGTACAACAGATAGATAGGTCATATACACATTAAAGTGTGTGCATTAATTTTGTTATAATGAAAGGCAAAATTCTTTTCTTATTTCTTCTAATTATACCTGTCAGCAAATCAGGTTACTCAAAATATTCATTCTCTTATCATTCCTTAGGTAATACTGGGAAGATTACACAAAGCTGAAATAATATTTACCTTGTTTCGCTTGCCTCCAGCATTGTTAAAAATATATATATCTTTGGGAACTGCTTATATGTAAACAATATAGTAATTGTGGCGTGGGCATGTTATTCAAAGCAGGTGCTTGACATAACTAACATGTGAGAGCACATTTAAGAAAGAAACTTCTTTTTAAAAAGTCTTCTGTGTGTAAGCCTGGAAAAAAAAATTGAATGGTTTATGCAGAAACTTGGAAAAGTGGTGGCTTCTTTAAAAAGATGTAAAATTCATGCACCTGTAATTTCTGGGTGTGGTGGCTCTTCTGAATTATTTCCAGATTATGTGTCGAATATACATTAATACCATTAATTCACAGTAAAAAAACGTGAGAATGTCTCAAATGGATCTTGAGAATATTTTTATTATTTGTATTGATCTTCTGTGTTTTAGCTTATTTGTGAAATGTTGGTGCTTGCTATCAGAAAGGCAAAACTTCGTGGCATTTCTTGTATTTATTTGGATGTATTTTTTTTTCTGTAAAAGAAAGAACCATCTCTAAGGGATTTATAATACATATTGTAATAATAGATAATAATTGTAATAATATATAGTTGTAACAATATATACTTGTAAACTGGTATTTGTAATTTAGCTGTAACAAATATTTCTAGCTAGACTAGAACTTCTAAAATGTAGAGACATTTGTCTTGTAAATATCTAACACTTTCAGTTTTGTGCATTAAAAATTCATGATATTTGAGAGAATAGCATTTTAACTCTTTGAGTACCTTTATTGTGCTTTCTCCTAGAAATGTTCCTTTTATTTGCTCACAACTTCTGATAGACAAGAGGGCTGAAACGTTTGTATTATTCCTAATACCGGTAGTAAATACATTTTATTTTTAATGTAAGCATTTATTCCTAATATATATTTAAACTTTTTCCTGGATCAGAAAAAGGTATTTATTTACTTCTCATTTCCCAAGAATTTACAGAAAATTAAACTTTTATGGCAATAAAATGGAAGTAGAAAATGTAATTGTTCAGAGAGTTGTCTGAGAAAATGTAATATACTGTATTGTTTCTGTAGATTTGCTATTTGAAAGTGGAGTGGCTGAAATATTAGGATTTGGTTGATCTAGCAGGGCTAGTGGGTGATGGCTGTAAGATGATGGCTACCATTGTTTTTTCAATCTTTTTAATATATCACTTTCTGTACTTAGAGTTGTACACTTAAGGGATTGAAATAGCATCATGATAGGAAAATGTAACATACTTGCAGGTCATTGTAGATTCGGTACAGTATATCCAATTAATTTAATATTATCATTGAAGGATAAATATATATTAAAAAATTATAATGCTATTAGAGCCTTCTCCGATACAAGGACAAAAAAGATAAGCAAAGTATAGGTTTTCTCCTAATGGCATTTGAATATATTTTGTTTTTATTCAGTCTTTCCTAATTTATTATCTTCCAAACAATTTATTGTTTGGGAATATGGTATTTGCTCTCCAGTCAGAAAGATGGTGGCCATCATAAATAGGAATTTTGGACAATGTTGTCCCACCACACATTTAGAATCAACAGATTATATATTTTTTTTTATAAAAAATGATTCTATTGTGTTGAAACCTTTTATATTTATCATATTAAAATTATCTTGTTTTAATCTCCCTTAAATACTAAAATTTAGACAATTTTGTAGCCAGGGTGACTTCTAAGGATATGCAAAACATTTTGTATTTGAACCATTTAAAAGCTGAAACCCCCTGTTTCCTGTGGGAAGATTTTTTAAATATTATTTTGGAAGTTGTGTTTAAAGCAGTTCTGCTTTGACTAAAACAGAAAAAGATGATTGAAATAGCTGTTTTCCCTTTGAAGTAGGTGGGTTCTGACTTCGTACAAATCTGAAATACATCTTTTTGTTCTCTGTATTTTCTACTAATTTTTTTTACCTGGTTTTAACTACATACTACAGCATGGATGTTACTCAGTTATTATTTTGTTAGCCATCCTGGGTTCTTTTTAAGTGAAAAAGCAGTGTAAATATTCCAAACAAACAAAGCAAACAAACATGAAAATATTTTGACATATGAAAATTATTGATATATGTTTCCTTCATTTTATCCTTTCCATAACTCTGTGAGGTTGGCTAACCTAGCAGAAGCTGGTTGAATTTCAAGAGTATGCAGGAATATGGATTCATTTTAGGCTTAGTGGGGCATTTTAACTGATATAACGCATATATTCTCAAATGACACATAATTGGTTAGTTACAATTAAGCCATAAGGTTTGCTTGCTGTTTTTTTTAATTGGCTCAGGATATCTAGTGGGTTCTAAAATAACATTAATTTGAGCTAGACAAATTTGGGGTTTGAATGCCATTATGCTTAAGGGATTACAATAATTCTTTTTCTCTCTTTCAGCCTCCATACTTAACTAATACATTTCACAAGATCCACTGGTCCAAGGTTCATTACTTTAACCCATTTTGAAGGTAACAACAAAGATCTTCAACCTCACCACTCAGGAGAAATAAAACTCTTGGTTCTATCCATTGTGACATTCTTTCTCTAACTTCAAAATTGCTGCATCACCCTGCTCAACAAAAATTATGCATCCGGTTTTAACTGGTAATGAAGATTACAAACACATTCTCTACAGTAAAAGGAAATGGAGCGCTAATGAGTCCTGCATGAAATTGAAAAGATACAGACAAATTACATCTTTCCCATATTTAACACTGTACTCTGAGGTCGATAAGTGTGATTTTATTCTGACTACCACTTTTATTAGAGGCCAGGTCATCTTCAATAGTAGTGAATTGTTAATGAAATTTAGATAGCATGAAATGCAACATGCTCTAATAAATTTGCAACTTTTCCTAGTGTGTGCTTTTTAGAAACACAATTACTCTTAACATATGTGCAATTTCTAGTAATTTACAACTGACTTTTATTAATATCAAAAAGTTAGGTAGGATTAGAGATGGTTAAGAATTGGATGGGAGACCTGTCAGGAAATTTCAGAGTCACAGACTAAATTGGAAAGTCCAAAAATGCATCCTAGATAAATGCAATATTTCTATATTGTTTCAATAAATATGGATAAATTGGTAGGAGTTTATTTAAGGCAGAGTTGCCAATCATGTGGTGGGTGTAATTAGTCCAACACACCCAATTAAGCAGGGGGAAAATTGGTAAGCTTGTTCCTCTCTCTCTTTCTTAACTTGTTTAAATGTTTTTATTTTATGGATAGGTGACCCATTCTCAAACATCCAGGTTGTCCTGTCTGGGATATATGAGGAGAAAATAAAGATCAGAGGTGGTGCTTTGCTGCATGCCAGGATAACTTTTCAGGGTGAGTCTTTTTATTTATAAACAACAAAAACATGGTCAGATGTGGAGGAAGTGGAAGAAGTATTGTAGGTATATATGATGCCCATGTCTTAATTATTTGTCCTTTTATTGTTGAAAGTATAATTCGTGGAAGTAACTGTTCAGCATCTCATGACCTACTAACTACAAGAGGACATGGAGTGCTGCTAGAGCATTAAAGATTTTCTCTGTGCCCCTTCTTCGTCTTCTTTTCTGCCTGCTCTTTTTGTCTGATTTTTTTCTTTTTCCACACATGCATGGAACACACATTCTTTGATTGGCTATTTGATAGGATGCAGCTAGCTAAATGCTAATCTTTGATTATATCTATGATATATTTCCTGTAAATACTGTACATCTTTCTGTTATATTTAAAAAGTCCTTTCCTTAATTCTTGTTCAGGTCAGATTCCTATTCCAGATTCCTGAGATAGAAACATTGGTTCTTAAAATCTACAGCATGACTGACCCAGATTTTAAATTCGAGGCCTAAATTATGACACAGGATTTATCTGAGATATATTTAGTGCTCCAGCCCTCAAGATTTGACTAGTCACTTCCATAGCAAAGGTACTATTACAGTGCTTAATTTTTAGATGCTGATGATAACAACAAAAGAAAGTTTTTTTTTTCTCTTGTAGTGAAGGAAAATTATTAACCTTGTTTTGAGTAAACCATAACAGCAGATATGAGTGTTTACAAACTCAGGGCTTGTTGAAATAGAAAGACTACTCTGATGAAGGGGTAGGAGGTTGGAGAAGAAGATTGATAGAGATGGCAGATTCCAGAAGACAATAGAGACTTACCAAGAAATCTTCTGTTGGAGTACTCTATATGTTGCCTGGCCTCACTGCCAAGGCAGCGCCCAGGCAGAAAAGACAACTGGTTCCTGAAATTGAAAATTTGTCCTCAGGTGGGAGCAAAGGGAACCAGAAGTAAGAAGCTGCTTATGTAATGAGCAGAAAAGATAGCCTGAATGGAGGAAGATCCATTATCAATGCAATAAATGTATAAGTGTGGCATAGCCCATATGAAAATCTCTCACATAGAGGAAATAATAAAACAACAAATAGAATTAAAACCAGAAATATTTCTACTAGGCATATTAACAGGGAACTATGATTTAAAAACCCCAATATTTAATATTACATATAATTACAGCGGCTAGAATAGTTTACACGCAAAATTGGAAAAATGGGAATATACCAGCTGAAGAGCTGGTGATAAAGAAAATATTAGACTGCGCAGATATGGATAGGCTGATGATGGCGATAAAAGATAAAGGAGAAACAGAATATTATTTGATTTGGAATGTATGGTATAACTGGTTAGATAGTAAAGGCAAGGATTAGGAGATGAAGAATATATAGTATTATAGTAAGGTGCTATACAATGTAAAAAGTAAAACATTTAAAATAATAACTACAGATTGTATACATAATAGCATATATAAGGTGAATGTATATCGATCAGTATAGGAATGTTGCAAAGATGGAAATTGCGATATAAAATGAAGAAAATGGTTTAATAAAAACAATATTAAGAAAAATCTCTCAGATAGACACCCCAGGTTATTTGAAGAACCTCCTCTTTCCTATTATGTTTACCTGACTCACTAGAGCAGGGGTCTCCAAACTTGGCAACTTTAAGACTTGTGGACTTCAACTCCCAGAGTTCCTCAGCCAGCTTTGGGTTTGGAGCTTTGGCCAGCTTTGCTGGCTGAGGAACTCTAGGAGTTGAAGTCCACAAGTCTTAAAGTTGCCAAGTTTGGAGACTCCTGCACTAGAGCTAGAAGACAGGACATGCTTCAAATCCCATCAATTATACATTGTTATCTGATGGGAATTATAAAAAAAAGGGCCTCCTTGGTGATGGACCCTTTGTTATAGAACACCAATCCCTACACCCTGTTCCTTTTCCTAAAGGCCCTATAGTGTGGCTTTGTCAGTAGGCCGAGTACTATAAATGGAAATAGAACTGATCAAAAGGCTCATCTAATTGTGTTGTTGCTGCCACGTGGGGTGGAATATTTAAAGGATTTTTTAAACAGGATTTTAACAGTTGTATCATATGATGGAGCTTTTAATTTTTTTAATACAGGTAGTCCTTGACTTATGACCACAATGAGCCCAAAATTTCTACTGTTAAGTGAGACATTTGTTAAGTGAATTATGCCCCATTTTATGACCTTCTTGTCACAGTTGTTAAGTGAATCACTGCAGTTGTTAAGTTAGTAACACAACTGTTAATGAATCTGGCTTCCCCCTTGATTTTGCTTGTCAAAAGGTTGCAAAAGGCGATCACATTACCTTGGGACACAGCAACAGTCATAAGTATGAAGCATCTGAATTTTGATCATGTGATCATGGGAATGCCACAAAGGTTGTAAGTGTGAAAAATGGTTATAATTCACTTTTTTTTAGTGCCGTTGTAACTTTGAACAGCCACTAAATGAATTGTTGTAAATTGAGGACTACGTGTATTGTAAGCTGCCTGGAGTCACCTATATGTGAGTTTATTGGCTATACAAATTTGATAGATAGATAGATAGATAGATAGATAGATAGATAGATAGATAGATACAGTAGATAGATAGATAGATAGATAGATAGATAGGAAGGAAGGAAGGAAGAAAGGAAGGAAGAAAGAAAGAGAAAGAAAGAAAAAGAAAGAAAGAAAGAAGAAGGAAGGAAGGAAGGAAGGAAGGAAGGAAGGAAGGAAGGAAGAAAGAATAAAATTCATGTGAAGATAAAATGGGAGGGGAAACATTCAGATTTGGAACATTCTGTTACATTTTAATAAAAGTAATTTTAAGACTGTGAGATCTATCTTGCAGGGCTGACAGCTTATATGACCACAATTGAGGCTAGGAGAGCAGTCTCTTTGCTTAAGTATTTTATTTTGAACATTAGAATTCTCGATTTGGACTGTTGAGAATCCAAAGAGTCTTTTTGTGCTTTTGTTTTCAAACTCTGTCCATGACTGTTCAAGGGATAAAGAAAATAAACTTCAAGTTCTCTGCACCTTTAGAAAATCCAGAGTTTGGTTTCTGTTACTCTCTAGTAACAGAAGCTCCCCACCTCTCTATTTAAAAGGGTATCTGCCATGGCTGTTTGCTAGAGCAGTGTTTCTCAGCCTCCACAATTTTAATTTGTGACTGGCTAGGAAATTCTGTGAGTTGAAGTCCACACATCTTAAAAGTTGCTAAGGTTGAGAAACACTGGCAATTCAGAGCTATTTCCAATTCCTTCCAAAATTTGGTCCCTGGCCGGGGGAAGAAAAAAATTGCTAGGTTTTTTTAGTTCAGCTATGAGTCAGTGGAACATCCTGATTTGGGTGGCTGAAATAAAACTGAAATGCCTTTTTTTTTTTTTAGATTTTGCCCAAATAGGTTTTCCTGCAATTCTCCAATAAATGGCATTTATTGTTTAGAATTTTACCCTTCATGGGTTTTGTTTGAGATTCTCTGGAGACAACAGAGAAAGAATTGGAAGCAAGTGAATGTAGACAGAGATGCCTTTGGATAACAGGTAGCCTTCTCAGTATCTCTAACCATTGGCTCTGCTCACCAGGGCTGATTTGAGTTGGAATCCAATAGTATATGGAGGATCAAAGTTCTCCACCACTCTCTCCATTCATCGTCCTTCATATTTATGCCTTTCATGTTTGCTTACAGCTGGGATGGGGTTCAGTGGCTAAGATTCTGAGCTTGTCAATCGAAAGGTCAGATGTTCAGCCTTTCGAATCCCTAGTGCCGCGTAACGGAGTGAGCTCCCGTTACTCGTCCCAGCTTCTGCCAACCTAGCAGTTCAAAAGCACGTAAAAAATGCAAGTAGAAAAATAGGGAACACCTTTGGTGGGAGGGTAACAGTGTTCCATGGCTTTGGGTGTTTAGTCATGCCGGCCACATGACCACGGAGACGTCTTCGGACAGCGCTGGCTCTTTGGCTTTGAAACGGAGATGAGCACCGCCCCCTAGAGTCAGGAACAACTAACACATATGTGTGAGGGGAACCTTTACCTTTACCTTTTTAAACTTGTTAGAATGATGCTGTCATACTTAAGCTCATGCTGTTGCTGACTGGTGAAATTCCCATATGATGTCAAGGGGAGGCAGGTTTTGGAGATACTGAAGTAACATTTGTAGTTTTTTGCTCCCAGATATGGGGTAATCAAGAAAACAGTGTCTTGCTGAAGCAAACCAGAATTCTTAATGATGACCTTAACTGAGATTTTCCTCATTTTTTGGTGGCAGTCTTTGTCTTGGGGAAAGACTGCAAAGTTTGGGCTGTAACATTTTTTCTCCTTGAGTGCTAGTATCTCAACTTTTCTAATTTGGTGAAGACCATGTCACTCAAATGTAGATATTACATCAATATCCTCTGCTATGTTTTGTGCACTGCAAATACAGATCTGCTTGACCCTCCGAGATCTTACTTCTTTGGGGTATTTCAGACATGAGTTACCTTAGCAATCTTTCCCATTTCCAGGCAATTATGATGTATAATAGATTAGCTTAAAGTTAACATAATGGCTAGCATAAATTACATCGAGGGTGGTTACAAGCTATATATTTAGTGAGAAACTTGTCATGAAGACATTGTTACCTATTGAATGTTTAGACTATCCCAGACCTTTGATATTTTATGAAACTCATTCGTTGTGATCTGCTACTAGCTTTTATCAATCTTTAGGAATCTTTGGAAATATAATATTTTGTTATATGTCAAACATTTTGGAGCAGAATAACATGAGGTGCAGTCATAGCGAACAAGGCATTATAATGAATGATTCAAAGAAAAATGTATGTTTACTTTGAACATGTGGTTTAGGTATAAGAGTTTATGCATAAACATGACAAAGAAGGAACTTTTTTTAAAAAAAATATTAAATTGATTACATCAGTAAAGGAGACTATTAGTAGCTCAGGGTTGCTCTCTGAGCTTGGTTGTTTTCTTGCAGATGTTTCATTAGCTCATCAGTGCTAGTAAGGAGTAATATAAACTGAGAGCAAACCCCACTCCTTACTAGCACTGATGAGATTACATAGTTTGAGTAATGAAACGTCTGCAAGAAAACAATCAAACTCATAGAATGCCAAGATTGGAATTGATTGGAAAATATTAAGGAGAGATACAAGGGGATGAGAGATTCTCAATCCTGGATGGACCACTATTGGGTAAATGACAAAAATGTATTGGATGAGAAGGATGAAGGAAATGTAATGAGCATGAAAGTACAGTAGAGGAAAGCAGGAATAGAAAATGCAAATCTTGTTCTGTTGTGGGGGTCTCACATTTTACAACAGAATGAATGAAAATGGGCACTGGGAAGGAGGATGTGGAAATTAGATCAGTGAAAAGATTTGTGTGACAAGAGTGTGTATGTGGAGTTATGTAAAAACAGTTGTTTATTAGAATGATGAATCAGAAGAAGCTACTGATGATGAAAAACTGCATACAAGACATGGATGCTAATAAAGGGAAATAAAGATATTGCAAAAATCTCTGGAGAAATAGTTGCAAATAATGTAGATTAGCACAAACATGTTTTGGAAGTGAATAAAAACTACTACACAAGAAGCCCAAAGAGAGTTAATGGGATTAAAAATAAGAGAGATCAGATGTTTGGGATGAAATTGAAGTGATGGAAGGAGTACTGTATTTCAAAGATTTGTATAGGAATGATAAAAATTGCAGAAATATTAAAATATATGTAGCTTGTGCAACTGGCTGTGCAAATCATTTAACAGAAGTGAAAATTGTTTCTGCACCTGATGAAAAATGCATTTTTCTATATTACTGATTCTCAAATTTTGCAACACTATCACCCTCTGCAATAATAAAATGAATTTTTTGCATGAATTAGACTAATGATTTCACTGAGCCAAGTGGTTGAGTCATAAAAAAAACACACAATTTACCGTATGTTAATAATTAAATTTCCATCTATATATCATGTAAAAAAACCTTACAACCTCAGTCTTATGACTTCATAAATCTGTTTCATTGCAAATAAGCAACTGAAAAATCCTCAAGAAAATGTGAATACATATTTTAATGGTAAGAAGGAAGTTACTTTTGCAATTTCCTGAAATCTGGCCATCATCTTCAAGACACACCCTATTATTTTATGAAAGCAAGGGGGTGGGAGAGAAAAGGGTGTTTCTTTGCCACAGTTTAAATGTTCTTCAACTACTCTTAAATTCTACAGCTTCCAAAAAATGGCAGCCTGTAAATTAGTTGTCACAACCTTTCTTCCAGTACAACCACATATTCACTAGAGACTCTTTGTATCAATTTGTCTACAGAGGAAGCATCAGGTCACATGGTCAGATCTTTGAAAGAATCCAGATAAGTAACCTTTCTGAAAGGTAAATGGCAGAGAGTGCTAATTTTCCCACAAAGACTATTCAAGCTTTGCGAGGGATCCGGAACTTTCTGAGCATTCCTTTCCACACAACATACTTTGCACTGAACTGGTTAACCTACTTGAAAAGCAGTGTGAGAGAGGCACTTTTGGGCAACTCTCCATCCATTGTCTTGTGACACTCCCCCACTCCCTCCTCTGTGGTTGTGACTCATATTGAAAACCATACTATACTAAGGGAAGGGGCGCAAGGGTAAAACCAAAAACTATAAGGGGGTATAGATTTATCTAAGAGAGTGTTTGATAGAATTCTGATTGAAAGGCTGCAAGAAGAGAGTAAACAAAATTTGTGAAGGGCAGTTTATGCTGGGCAGACCAACTTTTGCTCTTCGGCAAGTCGTTGAGGAATGTACAAATGTGAAAAAGTTTATTGTATATTAACTGATTCAAAAAAAGAGTATATCATAAAATGAAGAGGCCTTTAAGTGAATCATATCTTCCATTTCATTGGCCTATTATTTTTTACTCTTTTTCTGCATTACTTCTAGAATAGTGTGGTGGGTATGCATGCATGTTTATGTCAGTGTTTCTTGCCACTTTCTTTAGTATTGCCAGGTACTAAGGAGACTCTTCATTTTATTTGGCTTTCTTTCAACTTCCGTTTTTATTTTAGGTTTAAGCCTCTTAATATCTGCTCTCCTTAATATCACAAGAAATACAATATATTCAAGAAACTGACCCTTCCAAGACAATAGAAAACTCAGGAGACTCCTGACTGGAATTTATAATAAAAAGCTGGAAAGCAAAAGGTACTTTGTAACTTCAGCGTTTTTTCTAATTATTTATTATTCCCAAATATTTATTATTACTTATTCAGAAAGCAAAATCCTTGTTTCTTAGTCTGGAACAATTATAATTGTAATTATAACTGGTTGTGTTGAATTTCTATTCCTTTTCTTTCTAAATTTATCAATTTTGCACTTATAAGCTACTTTTTAAAAAATCTTTTTACCAGCAGTATTTCTTACAGAAAAATTCCTGCCTGGGTATTTTCAACCCTCTTTCTACTTGTTACTGACATCTTCTATTCCTCTTTTTATTTCAATGCTAACTTTTAATGACAATATACCAAATCATGTGCTCTGGCACATGTGGATTCTCTTTTTCATTTAATGATCAGATTAGTTTCTGAGTTGCGAATTTTGGTATGCATATATATCTTATTAAAGACATCCTAATGTTTGTCTGTCTGTCTGCTGTCTGTCTGTCTGTCTGTCTATCTATCTATCTATCTATCTATCTATCTATCTATCTATCTATCTATTCATCTATCTATCTGAGTAGAGAATGTTGTTACAAAGGGATGCCTTTTTCTGTCCCAACAATTTACTGCAAATTAATAGGTTTTTGTTGCTAAGGAGAATAGAGAAATGGCAATCTGCAGCAATTATCTGATAGGAATGGGAAAGTATTCAGACTTAGTCCAATTAAAACTTCTCTTGTGGAGTAGCTACCTAAGCAATTTTTTGTGGTTTAAACTTTAAAGCCATATATGACTGCAACTTGCTAGGAACAAAGAACTCCCTAGAACAGCCATGACTGAGATAGAGTTTAACCTTTCTAAAAAAAATACAGTTCATTCAGAAAGTATTCAGACCCCCTTCACTTTTGTCAATTTTGTTATTCTGCAGCCTGATTCTACAGTTGTTGAAATTCATTTTTTTCTCCTTAATCTACATTCAGTACCCCATAATAATAACGAAGTAAAAACAGAATTTTAGAAATGTCTGTAAATTTATTAAAAAGAAAAAAACTGAGATATCACATTGGCATAATTTATTCAGACCCTTTGCAACCACACATGAAATTTAGCTCTGGTGCCTCCCATTTCTCTTGATCGTTGCTCACATGTTTCTACACCTTGAATGGAGTCGACCTCACGTATTGTGAGTACTTATGCCAATGCGATATTTCAGTTTTTTTCTTTTTAATACATTTATAGACATTTCTAAAATTCTGTTTTCACTTTGACATTATAAGGTACTGAATGTAGATTAATGAGAAAAAAATGAACTGTAGGCTGCAGCATAACAAAATTTACAAAAGCTTAGCACATTTATTACTGCTTTACGTGTGTAAGATTCCTAGCAATCAGGCTATTTAGAGGATAGATAGCAGAACCTGGTTCTTTTGAAGTACTCTAATGATACCCTCAGAGGGATAAAGGATCTTCCACTGTTAGATTTTGTGAGATGACAATTAGTAGCATCAGTGTCAGAGTTTTCAATAAGCTTATCAAGTTTAGATTGGATGTTGTTTACGGAAACACAAATGGCCACAATGTGGTGGAACCTGTAAGTAGACAAAGCTCTCCCAAAACCTTTGGGATGGTCTCTGGGGAGCGATTATCTTTCCTAAACCTCATTTGGTGAGGAATTATAGTCTTATTTTCTCAAGCTAGCAAGCTTGTAAGGAGTACCTTACATCTCTGTGAGAATCATGATGTGGCAGGAACAAGAAATGTTTGTTGTTGTTTCCCTACCTTGTTATCTTATTTCTTGTTCTTTGTTGCACTTTTGAATGCTTCCTAAGCTATTTCTCAGCCACTTGTTTCCTTTCTGAGGTAATCTGTAATCTGTTTTAATTTTTGGCTTTGACTCAGTTTTTGCTTCCTTTGTTGTGGAATTCTCTGGATGCAGCTTGTACTGTGTACCGCAATCTAGCATTTCACTGCTCCTTGTTCCCCCCCTTCTCTCTGCCAAAATCTCAACAAAGTTGCCTGTTGATTTTAGCTTTAATCCGTATTTGTGACTCCGCTAGAAAGAGAACTGATAGCCACACACTCAGGAACACCCAATGACTATAGAGTCATCATTAAAATTGTTTCCAATCTAGTGATTATCTAGCTCAGGAGTGTTCAACATTGGTAACTTTAAGACTTGTGGACTTCAACCCCCTGAATTTCTAAGCCAGCCATGCAAAATTGGGCACTCCACATCTAGTTTAAAGGTCAGCAATCAATTTTGGAAAGGACCAGATGCTGTCCTTCCTCCACATCCACAAGTGCTGATTAGGATGCCAGTACTTCACAGAACAAGCTGTTACTTGGCCGGGAAGCTTGGCTTGAGACGTGAGCCTGGTGATCTACCACACTCCCCTCAGGGTTGAATATCAAAAGAGTTAGCACTGTAGTGTAACTGATTTAAAGCAAAGTACAGGGCTGGAGCCACACCTGGTCTTTCTGAGCAGTGCTCAAAAAGCTAAGTGGGGTCAGACCTAGTGGATAGTTGGATGGAAGATCACCAGAGAAATCTGAAGTATAGAGTCTAATTTGGAAAATTGAACAACATCTCTGAAGAAAACAGTGGAAATTATTTCATATTGTCCCTGTAGGTTTCTTGGCAACAAGACAATAGGAGGTGGCTCAAGGCATGCCCAGAAGGCTTGGCTGTCATGAGAATCAGTCCAATGCTGCTGTGCATTATGTGGGAGTTAAAATTGAGAAGCTTTCAGATCCTGCTTGAGCACAATGGCACCGATCATTTCTAATTTCCTGTACACACAGGAAATCAGTAGCCCCTCCATGCCTCCATGCTCTTCTGCACAGCTGAGCCTCCTCCTTCTGCTTCCTTACTTGTCATACAGAAGCAGAGGCGTTTCTGAGGATGGAAGAGTCCAAGGTCTGCGTCACACATCAAACCTGAGGCACTCTCAGTGTTATTGCTAGGACTATGATTCTCTACGTCTGTCCTTCTCCTCATCTTCCGATGGATTCCCAGTCGAGGAAATGACAGCGTATGGTATAATCTTACTCCTATTTGGCTTTCTATTCCTACTGTTGTTATTTTCAGTTTGAATCAATCATAAATGATCTTACTGTCCAGCTTTTGCCTCAGTTCTCTCTAGAGAATAAAAATAGAAAAATAAAAATGCTTTCATCCAGAAAGCATTACGATTTCAAAAAAGATAGTCTGTTAATTTAGTTTAAATTGTCGCCTCAGTTCTCTCTAGAGAATAAAAATAGAAAAATAAAAATGCTTTCATCCAGAAAGCATTACGATTTCAAAAAAGATAGTCTGTTAATTTAGTTTAAAATGTCGCAGAAAATGGCATTCCTGTTTTCCACTGGCAAGTTATAATCTAACCTTCCCCATACCTTGTAGGACAACAATTCCCATTTATTTATACATCACATTATAGTCTCTGACTTACAAAGTCTGAGCAACATGTCAGATTAGAAAGCAAAAAAGATACTCTAGAACATATTGGGGTATCAATGTAGCCAATGTCTATAACTCCTTAATTCAAACCAGTCTTATTTTGGGACTGCACAGCATCTGCCACGAACAGCTGCGAGAAACCTAGGACAACCAGCAGCTGCTTTCAGGAATTAAGAGCACTCTTATTTCCTCAAAGGCACTTCTGTTGCCTTTGAATACTGAACCTTTTACTGTCATATAATATTCCAGGAGAAGGTGAACACACTACGTTCCCTTGTATCTTCCTGGCAAGAAAAAAACCCACACCATTTTGGCTTAAGCAATATAGTAGTGATATTGGTGATGGAGCAATTGTAGTAAAAATGGAAAGTTTGAAGTTGCCTATCCAATGTAGGTTCTTTTATTTTGAGGATCCCAAATGAGATTGGGAGTTGTTACTTGTTACTCATATTCCACTTACATATGGTACTCTCTAGCAGAGGCATTCTGGCAGAGAATGGGAGAGTACTCTAAATTTGATGCTTACAGCCACCTGCTTCCCAAAGCCACAGACTTGATAGTGGGCCAGCTAAAGTCCTTACCATTAAGAAGGGAGTGAGGACATTTCAGGAGTAGATTTTAAAAAGTCAGGATGGAAGTTGTATAACTGCATGTCAAAGCCCTGATTCTTTGTGTGTGTGTGTGTGGAGGGGAGCACATGTATGACACATGTTGTTTTTTTTGACCCTCCTCTGCAAGCTTTCCTGAAAACAGGACTGTGGGAAGCGACTTGGACTCAGCTCCATGGAGTGCTTTGCACCACAGAGTGGACTGCATTCTTTTCTGCTTCTGATAAAATGGCAGGTCGCACTATTCTTAGCAAAAGCATTTTCTTGGCCATTCATGCCAGAGGGCTGAAATCTTGCCAGGCTGTCGGATCTGTTGGAAAAAGTCTAAAGAGAAACCAAATGTTGTGGCACAGCTAGATGTGTACGTGTGTGTGTGTGTAGGTGGGAGCATTGCGTTCCCAAGCAGGTTTGAAAGGGTGCTTCATCTGAAGATCTTTCGGGTCCACTCTTCTCCAAATAGGAATAAATTATTTATTTTGAACAAGCAGGACAAATGAACATAAAACCATTGGAACCATGCAGTACAACGCAAGGGTTGGAAGAGAATTCTATGGTGAGTTGCAGTTCCGTTTGGGCGGGAGGAGAGAAGTGGGGAGGAAATCTGAGGACATATACAGTCAAATTAGCAAGCCAGAAGAGAGAACTCATAATTTTTCCAATTGATAAATTCCCTATATGCAGTTAATGTTTTTTTTTTTATGAGAATAGCCTGGAAAAAAAAAAAGAAGACCCTACTTTCAGTCGGAAAGAGCATGTACCTTCTAGTCTTTCCATGAGGAAAAAAGGGCATCCAGTATGACCGTCCCAGGTCTGTCCAAGCTACCATGGTCTTTATTGCTGTTATTTTCATTACTTTTCAGCAGCATTCCCTTTTCCAGTCTTTCTACTGCTTCTTCGTGTATCACATTGAAACATTTCAACCAGATAATTCTTGTAAGTAATCAACCACGTGATTGTGCCCATTCATTCTTGCCAGGTCTAGCGGGCTGTGGTCCCATCTGTCCAGATGATCAAAGCGAGCCCCCCAGTGGTGTAGGAGCTTCAAAGTGTCCAGGAATCCCTCCCGGCTCACGTCATGGGCTGGCATTGCACCTGTGGAGGGGTCTGGCTGGTTGGGATCTGCTCCTCTCTGCAGCAGCAGCTCTGCCATTTTGGAGTTTCCCATCATCATAACCTGGAGGGCAGAAAAAGTAAAAAGCTGAGTGTTGACTGGGCAGCTTTTCATGCTTGTCCTCTATAAACTTTAGCTCCCTTTTTGGCAATAGCCAACCTTATCTGGTCTGTAACATCCTAGTTTTAAATGGAGCTGCTCTGATTTGAAGATTTTATTTTTTAGTCTCCTTCCATCTTCACACATCCATATAGTCCCCAAAGCGTAATTGTAGTCTTTAAAACAGAACGAATCTGGAGCTATACCTTTGGTCTTAAAACTTGCAATGGGATAGGACAGAGTAAAAGAATGAAAAGAGAGAAAGTGGTGGTATTTTTTTTGTTGAAAGAAGCATCTCAGATAGCAAGGGTTTCATGCCTTTGGATGGGGTCAGTGGTGAAATCGAATTTTTTTTTTACTACCGGTTCTGTGGGTGTGGCTTGGTGGGCGTGGTGTGACTTGGTGGGCATGGCAGGGGAAGGATACTGCAAAATCTCCATTCCCACCCCACTCCAGGAGAAGGATACTGCAAAATCCCCATTCCCTCCCCACTCTGGGGCCAGCCAGAAGTGGTATTTGCTAGTTCTCCAAACTGCTCAAAATTTCCGCTACCAGTTCTCTGAACTGCTCAAAATTTCTGCTATCGGTTTTCCAGAACCTGTCAGAACCTGTTGGATTTCACCCCTGGATGGGGTGTAAGACTATTCTGAACACTTGCAGATGGCCTCTGAAATTAAATTAATCGCAGGAAGATGAAGTCCTGTTTCTACTAACAGTTATAGCAACTGCATAATGCTATGTTAACCCCCATCTTTCCTTCTGATCTCCTTTCCAGCAGAGGTCATTTTGCACACCATGACTTTTCTCCAGTGAAATAGAAAACATGATTGTCTAGTGGTTAACCAATTTCAGTTACGTTTTTTTTACAGAACTTAGTTTTTTAGCACAGTCATAAAGTGATTTGTTGGGCTTTTTAATGCCCTGATAACTCCCCTAGGGCGTGTTTCATGGTGCCTGTTTTATTCATAATTGCACATTTGTGGTAGAGTCATCTTTCCATCTTTCGGAATTTCAGAACGTCACGTTGCAATTTGCCCCAATGGAATGTTGGATGAAAAATGGACAATCTGCCTAGATGAGTTCATGGGGAGGTCTTCAAATTGCCCAACCAATTCACATCACATGTGTTCCAGCATCCGGAATGAAATGCATTTCCCCATTGGCTAATGATGTGCTAATGGGACAACTAAATCAGAAGAGAAAACCAATCAGCATATCTATAACATCTGAAGACCTGCAAATCTGGCAATGGATATTACATCAAAGGTAAAACAGATTAGTGATGTACACAAGGATGAGTTAAAGCCTTATATGGTTAGTGGGAAACTGACATGAGAAAAGGCCAATAAGGAACTTGGACTATGTTTCTTCTCTCTTGACTGCTGAAGAAAACCAGGGTGTCTAGCTTTGATACTAAAGTCATATCCTGTAAGAGAAAGGGATATTTCCATTGTGGGTTGTCTGACCTGTTTTTTCTCCCTGGTTTTTGTCAGTGGTTAAAACTTCCAGAAATAAAAAAAGATTTGCCTCATTTTACTCTGGCCCCCTTTCCCTTCCCTTGTCACTATGTTTACTGGGGAACAGTCCTTTTCCTTTCCTTTCCTTTCCTTTCCTTTCCTTTCCTTTCCTTTCCTTTCCTTTCCTTTCCTTTCCTTTCCTTTCCTTTCCTTTCCTTTCCTTTCCTTTCCTCCTTTCCTTTCCTTTCCTTTCCTTTCCTTTCCTTCTTTTCTTTCCTTTCCTTTCCTTTCCTTTCCTTTCCTTTCCTTTCCTTTCCTTGTAATTTCTCTGTAAAATGAGACAGTTATCTTTCAGTAATTGAAAGTATGATATTGGGACAGCTGAGATATTTTCTATCTAGGCCTTCTTTTGTGATAGTGGGGATTACTTTAAATTCAGCATCATCTTCCTTTGGGATAAATATATTTATTTTTCAAATATATTTAAAATAATTTAAAATTATTTCAATTCATCTGTAATTCTAGGTCTGCCTTGTAGAATTTAGCATAGTTACAACACACATAGCACAGCATAGCATATATAACATACCATATGCCATTATAAAAAACTACATATTTTGAAAAGAAAGGGCTTCCTTTTTCAATCAGACTTGAATGTATCAAATAACAATTGATAAATTATCAACAGATGAGCTGTCAGTTTTATTTTACTCACTAAAAGTAAAATATAATACCTAGAAATCTGAAGGAAAGCATATAATTCTTTTTTCTGATGGATGTGATTGGTTCATGGCAGCCTTATTTGTCAGAAAACTTCTTTGAAAAGAACCAATCTGGATAGTGGTAAAGTATTATATTGACACTGGGCAATCTCAGGGTCAAGTACACCCTTAGCGTAATCCAAACAATTCAAATAAATTCAATTTATTCTCTGTTACCACTGAGAAAATCTGGTAGTTAAACATTTCTTTCTGATGTTCAACCTTAAAGAGGTTCTGTCCACCCATCCTACCATTCCTCCAGGAAAAGCTCTAAAAATGAAGGGACAGACAGGGAGACAGACACACAGACACAGAGAGAGACAGAGAGAGAGGGAGAGAGAGAGAAGGAGGGAGGGAGGGAGGGAGAGAGAGAGGGAGGGGTGGATGGAGGGGAAAAAAAATATCAAGGCTCTTATCTATTGTCCTTATGATATTGGCCTTATGTTGCCTACAGGGAATAATTTACAAGGATTGTTTTCTGTACTATCCAGAGTTCATATGTTATAATTTCAATAACAATTGAATAAGCACACACACACACAGGATTGTGAGAATGCAGGAAATTAGGCTAGAAGTTCACAATCACTAGACAATTGGAATACATTGTCATCAATTTTCTTTAACTTTTCTTTTTTTTAACTTGGGAAGTGGCTGATGTTCTGAACTGGTAATAGGTTCACAGAAGTTAATAAAGTAAGGCAATCAAGACACTTGAAGGATATTCCCATTAAGAAAGCAGGCAGACTCTAGAATAGGATTCCCACCTGTTTGGATGGATCATGCTCTCCTGTGCTCCTAAAGAATCTGGCTTGCAGTCTAGGAGATTCATGTTTAGCATTTGGAGGCTTAAGCGGCAGCTGTAGCCAGGAGCCCCTTTATCCAATCTAAGTGATGTACCAACTGCATCTCTATTCTATTCCTGGTGAGATCAGATTTGGTCTGGGAAATGCATGTCTTAAAGGGAGCCAGTTTTGTGTTGTGGTTAAAGGCACCAGGGCTAGAAAATGAGCAGACTGTGGAATTTGGGTTCTGCTTTAGGTAAATGGGGGCCAATCATTCTCTCTCAGTCTTAGGAAGAAGGTAGCAACAAACAACTCCTGAAAATGTTGCCAAGAAGACTGTAGCATCTTGTCAAAGCAGTCATCAGGAATTAAAACTGGCTCCAAGCATATACACCAATACATGCTTTAGACTAGAGTCTATCCCCACTACTGTGTGAAGGTATTGTCCCATCTGTTTCATACCATTGCAGTCTCCCTGGAAGTCAGGTGCAAAGAAGCCTAAAAGATTTTACACATTTCATATCTAGCCTGAAACTTGTTGGCTTAAGGGGGGAAAATACCAACATTGCAAGAATTGCTTAAATATGTCTCATTTACAGGTGGGTGCAGATGTAGTCAGTATCATAAGGGACACATGGGGAAAAAAAAGTTGTTGTACTATGTTTGTGCTTGTACTTAGCTGCAAGTGGGAAATGCCCCTAGTTTAATCTTATCAGATTATTGCAACATGTGTCACAATATTGGGAGTTATTTCACCATAGTATTCAGAAATCACAATCGGTCCTAAATGCAGAAACTGTTAATGGGTATATGCCTCAAATAATACTGATCCTAAAAGGATTGCACGAACTATCAATCTGCTTCTGGGCACAATTCAGCGTTGGTGATGCACTTCAGACTCCTAAAGAAAACAGATAGTGCCAAGTGCAATATAGGCTATTTCTTCCCTAATTCTTTTGTCTAGATCACAGTTGTGGCAGAGAAATATTTGATGTGACAAAAGAAATAGCTTTTCCGAGGCCTTGTCTCACCTATGGAATTCCCTGCCACAAAAGGCCAATCTGGTTGATATTTTATTTATTTATTTATTTATTTGTTTGTTTATTTATTTATTTATTTCCAATTTATATACCACCCTTCTCCCTGAGGACTCAGGGCGGTGTACAGCCAGAATTAAGAACATGAAATACAAATATTAAAAAACAATTAAAATATATATAAATTTGGCCCAAAAATTAAAAATCACAAACCAATTAAAACATTTAAAATTTCTTCTTAAGCCAGCCCGGCTTGCTGGAAAAAATGGGTTTTAAGGGCACGACGGAAGGCGCTGAGGTCTTGGATTCTCCTTATCTCTGGGGGCAAGTGATTCCAGAGGGTAGGTGCCCTCACAGAGAAGGCCCTCCCCCTGGGGCTCACCAGCCTACATTGTTTGGCTGATGGCACCCTGAGGAGGCCCTCTCTGTGGGAGCTCACGGGTCGATGGGAGGTCGTCGGTAGCAGCAGGCGGTCTCGAAGATAGCTAGGCCCTATGCCATGGAGCGCTTTAATGACTGGATAAAACTTTTCTCTTTGGGAAGACATACCACAGCAGAGGTTAATGCAAAATGTTTCTTGAAGATGTTATCATGTACGGGCCTGCTCTTATTTTTCAATATTTACTAGGTAAGCATATTGTTAGTTTGGTTTTCATTTCTCATTCATTGAGAATTTAATGTCAAGATTAAATTGAATCTTGTCCTGCTTTACTGTAAATTGTGGCTAGCTGCCTTCAGTGATGCAAATGCGTTAGAAATGTAGGGCGTACATTTAGAAGAGCATGTCTTGCCAAACACTGGGTTGTGCTAGGGTTTGCAAATATGGAAAGGGATTAGTTCACTTGCTGCCATTTCATTTTGTATTGCTTTTCTAATGCCAGGAATCAAGTGACTCTGGATTCTTGTGTTATTTCACCTCATATGCTCTAACGTGTTCCTTCATTTCAGGGAACAATTGTCCCTGATCTTAGAAAATAGGAAAAATAAGTACCCCAGAACTGGCATCACAGAGAAGGCCTTTGCAAGAGAACCAGACAGGCAATAGTGAAAAAGTGAGATCCTGGAAAAGGCGTGGAGAGCAGAAATGAAAAAGCAGGAAGAAAAGTCTGAGACAAACAAAAAACAGACTAATTGGACAACAGGTAGAGAGTTAAATGGGACTGGGCACAGAGCCATCTTTATCAAGATCAAATATTGACATTTAATGTTATAAAAGACTGATAACGTCTACAGAAAGTCTCAATAATAAAACAGAATACAGAATAATAGAGTTGGAAGGGACCTTGGAGGTCTTCTAGTCCAAACCCCTGCTTAGGCAGGAAACCCTACACCACTTCAGATAAATGGTTATCCAACCTCTTCTTAAAAACTTCCAGTGTTGGAGCATTCACAACCTGTGGCGGCAAGTTATTCCACTGATTAATTGTTCTGTCAGGAAATTTCTCCTTAGTTCTAAATTGCTTCTCTCCTTGATTAGTTTCCACCCACTGCTTGTTCTGCCCTCAGGTGCTTTGCTGAATATTTATTTATTTATTATTTATTGGTTCGATTTATATGCCGCCCTTTTCCGGAGACTCAGGGCGGCTTACAATGCGTTAAGCAATAGCCTTCATACTTTTGTATATACCTGCTTAGTAGGGCTTTCGCCCCCCCCCCAAGCGGTGTTCTTTTTTATACAAAGTCAGCTTATTGCCCCCACAAACCGGGTCCTCATTTTACCTACCTCGAAAGGATGGAAGGCTGAGTCAACCTTGAGCCTGGTGAGATTTGGACCTGCAGTAATTGCAGGCAGCTGGTGTTATCTTAACAGTGCTTTAGTCTGCTGCGCTACCAAGGCTCTTGACTCCCTCTTCTTTGTGGAAGCCCCTGAGATACTGGAACACTGCTGTCATGTTCACCCCAGTCCTTCTTTTCATTAAACTAGACATACCCAGTTCCTGAAACCATTCTTCATATGTTTTAGCTTCCAGTCCCCTAATCATCTTTGTTGCTCTTCTCTGCACTCGCCGTGCAAATAAGATGCCGGGTGGGGCTGTCTCTCTAAATGCAAACGGGATCTGGGTAGGCGAGTACATTTTTGTTAAAAGAGATTTGTGAAGCCCGTTGGGAAACTGAACCAATCCAAGCAACAACCTCTCAAACTCGAACCCAACGTTTTACTTAAGTGTGACCGCGTTGCTGCTCCGAATGATGGATTTTCACGGCGATCGTGCGTGCGGGGTAGCCTTGCAGTTCAGCAAAACCGCGTCAAGCAAGCAATTCGACAGGACGGATCGCAAAAAAAAAAAAAAGAAAGAAAGAAAGAAAAAGAAAAAGAAAAAAAGTTTGGATTTCCGAAAAGAGAGCGTTTAATCTTTCTGAAGCAGCAAAGCTACGCGCGAAAACCAGAAAGAAAAAAAGAAAGAAAAACGTTTGCTCCAGCGAACGGGGCTATATAATCTAGCGTGTTTATTAGAGACTTTTGGCTAAGACTGAAGAGCTCGCTTTAATAAGCCGCAGTGACTTGAAAGAAAAGCAAGTCGGGAGGATTTAGTAAAAGAGGTGGTTGCAATGCAAGAACGGTTTTATCGATGTTTTGAGTGAAAGAAAGCTCCGTTACACGCAAGTAACAGGGTTCAGGAAGTCCCTTTCAGTACCTCAGTGTAAAGTTTAGTAGTTTAGTAGGAATTGGATATACCTTTTTTAATGAAAAGAAGGAGTAGGGGGTGACATGATAGCAGTGTTCCAACATTTGAGGGGCTGCCACAAAGAAGAGGGAGGGTCAAGCTATTCTCCAAAGCACCAGAAGGCAGGACAAGAAGTAATGGATGGAAACTAATCAAGGAGACAAGCAACCTAGAACTAAGAAATTTCCTGACAGTTAGAACAATTAAACAGTGGAACGACTTGCCTCCAGATGCTGTGAATGTTCCAATGCTGGAAGTTTTAAAGAAGAGGTTGGACAACCATTTGTCTGAAACCGTTTCCTGACTGGGTAGCAGGTTGGACTAGATTCTAGAATACCTCCAAGGTCCCTTCCGTTTCTTTTATTCTGTAATAGTACTAAATAGAGATGGTGACCCTGTGTTGGCTGAGGACGATTGGAATTACAGTCCAATGAGTTCAGAAAGGCAATCGTTAAAGGCAGGCTGCAAATTTACACGCGTGCAACGAGATAATGGACACCCTACCTTATCACAAGCACAATGCAATACCATTCCACGTATAATATTCGTCGTTTTAAAGATGGCCTCACAAAATCAAGTTTTGTTTTGTTTTGCTCTCTGTATCTCCGGTAATCATACCGGTGACTGCTTTTTATCCGGTAACGGTCTACTCACACCGGCGAAGAAACGTGTAGATAAAACGACGAGACACGATTTAATCGAATGAACCCCAATTGCCACGGAATAGGAAAACGGGAATACATTTCCCGAAGCAAAAACGCTGATCGGACGATCGGGGAAAAGCCCCGGTATAATTGATCAGCGGCGCTTCTAGATTCAAAGTGTTTGCTGTTACTACCAAGACCGCCGTCTCTAACCTGCCTTTGTTTGCAAATTCGTGAACGCATTTTAAAGCTTTTGGAGTTGGGGAAAAGCTGCTCGGGGAATAAACTTTATCTAAAACTCTTATTGGAATGGTCCCCCCCCCCACTTTCTTTTGGGAAACCAACGTTTCTCTGGTTACCTCGAATTCTTAAAATCAAACCAGCATGATCTTTTCTTTTTTTTTTTCTCCCGAGAGAGGTAATGATGCAGACGGTATCTTTTGCAGAGCGATATTAAGCACTGTCCGTATTTGCGTTTTGGTCTTTCTAATTTAAAGTTTTGGAGCTCAATCGGGGAGACGGACACCGAGTAGAATCGTCAAGGCACAAAACGTAATTAACTTGGAAGGATAGAGACCTGCCATACACACGATTTCTCCGAAATAATTTCCGTCTAGGCTTCATAGGTAATTTCCACCTTGTGGAAATTACCTACCTTGTTTATTCAGAGTTCAGGCATACCTCGAAGATGAGACAATATGCCTGCACTTTCAGTTTCCAATAGTTTCCCCATTTAAGGGTCCTTAATTTTTTTTTTTCTGGATCACCTTAGAGACACCCAAGATTGCGCCACAGCTTGCAGGGAAGCTTCCCGAGAGACGAAAAATTGGCTTGTCCTATACAGTGAGTACCCTACTTAGATGGTTACATTTCGTTATTCCTTCGCCTTCAGAGACACATCTAAGCCCCCCCCTCAGCAATTGTTTTGGAATAGAAATATCAGTATTTGGGGTTTTTTTTGAGGGGGGGCGGTATGGATTTCCAAGGAATGAAATAGTGCTTAGTTGCATTGCCTTTCCGAGTTTAGGAGTCCACGAAGTTCTCGTGCAAACAGAATCATAAAGGAAAAAGAAAGGAAAAATCATCTCCCTGCCTCCATTTGCCTCTCCATGCCCTTCCACGTTAAATCTATTTGCTGCAGTTCTGTATAGTAGATGAATATGACATGAGATTTGCAACTAGTTCCAGACTTTAGTAATCTGGGTTGTTTTGTAATAATGCTGGATTGTTGAGAAGGGTTCCGAATCAGTTAAGCAATACAGTGAGAAATAGTCGTGCATTGTTCTCAGAATGTGGCTCGAACGCAAGGCACATTAAAAAATATTAGCTCACTCAGCCTTGAGAAGAGAATATATCCTCCGATATGATCCTCTGAAAAAGAAATGCATTTTTTTTCCCTCCTGGCCTATGGTTATCCCCCCCCTTTTTTTGAACTGTCAATCTTCCTCAGAGAGGAACTCTAGGCAAAATGTCAAAATATACGAAGAGCATATAAAAATTAAAAATGTAGGAGGCGGCAAGGGTGATTAAATCTTATTAAATTGATTAAAACGGTGATACATACACACATATTCTATTATATATCTATAAGTATATATATCTTTTGCTTTTGAAAAATATATATATCACCCCTCTATTTTATTTCCCTTTTACTTCTTTTGCTGCACACCCAGACATTCCTTATATAAAATATAATATAATTTGATCAATTTAGATATGGGGGGGGGGAATGAGTTATACTAATCATGAGGCAGCATAGTCTATCTTTCCTGCGAAATAGTTTTAATAATTATTTGGTAAAATGGATGGGGATAGAAGCATATTTAATATTTAGTCCTTGCCCTTCATTCTTGCCCTTCATTCTCTTATTTAAGTTTGTGGACATAATCTCCTCTCTCGTTAGGTCTCGGACAAAAGGTTCTCCTAAATTTTGAAGCAGAGATTCGGTTCTGATCAAATGTCACACTGTCTTCCCCCAAGGGGTGGGTGGGGGGAAATAAGACAATAAGTACCACCTACAATAAAAACGGTCCGCCCTAAACAAAACTTCTGCTTCGTCTATTCAGGAGCGGCATATAATGTACTTTCAGAGCTGCTGACTCAGCTACGGTAGACACTCTTACGGTTCATGAATTAATTCTAAATTCCAAAGGACTCTTTAAGTGGCAGGAACGGCGCGTGTGGGAGAGTGAGTGGCAGGGAGAGCTAAGAGGGGGCTAAGCCGGGGAGAAAGAGAAATGGAGAGATCGACAGACTTCTCAGGGTCCCTGAGGTCCCTCTTGGGCTGCAGCTCTTTACTCCGAGCCTGAACCCTGAGTAAAATAGCTTTCGAGTTAAGCTCGAGGCGTCTTGTATCCTGATCAAGGGCTGCAATTTTTAAGCGACCAAGGTGGAAAACAGACACCCGAAGGCAAAGCCTCCCGCTCCCCCCCCCCCCGACTTCGAGGTAAGACCCTCAAAGCCAAAGAAACGTTTGAAGCCCAGCATGCTGAGCCGTCAGGGGAAAGTGCAGCCGCCGCCTCCTCCTCCTCCCTTTTTACAGTCAAACCTCTGATCTTTCGGTCCAAGAAGGTCCCACCTGAATCGGGCTCCGGCCGAAGACGTTGGTGGCATTGGGATCCGCCCCGCTCTCCAGCAGCCTCGTCGCTGTCTCCAGATCTCCGCGGGCGGCAGCGTTGGCCAGTTGATTTGCCTGCCACTCGTCTCCATTTGGAGCTTCCATGTTTGACCCAGCAGTGTTCTCTAGGGACGAGCGCCTAGCGCATCTGGCAGCGGCTGGCTCCGTTCCTTTTCTCTCTCGCACACCCGGGCACCAGTCTTGCAAAGATTCACGATCCGCCCTTCTGGTTTCCTCTCCAACTCCTCGGACAATCTCCTTCCCTTCGAGTTTACCGTCTTCTTCGGCTGTTGTTTGTTTTTTTTTTTCCTCCCACCGATCGCCTTTCCTCTCTTCAAGGTAACAGAACGAGTGAGGATCGTTGTTGTTCCCTTGTTCTCAGCCTGCCCCGGTTTAATCAGCTCGCGCCTGGCCAGGCTGGGATTTAATTCTCTGGGAATTTAATTCTCTGGGAACTTTACTGTATTAAGGCTTCCGCTAGCGCCCTCTCTCGGTCGTTTATAGGGAAACAAAGCAAGCGACTGAGCTGCGGGGGCGCATGCGCATCCGCCGGTGCCGACGCCTGCTGTGGAACTTTGGCGGAGAATGCTGCAATTCTTGCCTTGAATGGAGCGTCCGCCTTTCGGTGCCTCTTTAGAGCTGCTCTGTCCCACGCCCGGAATGAGGGGCAGAATTCTGGATTGGGGGATTCCGCTTCCTCTTGTGATTGGACGGTGGTTTTGAGCAAAGTCCCCTGCGTGACGTAAAGGCAGCACACGTAGATGTTGGTCATAACGAAGTAAAGACACTTTGGCACATTTGCTCAGAAGTGAATCGGGCTATGCTCCCCCCCCCCTCCCCAACTTGTGTGTGTGGCTATTGCCCAGTTAACTGAAACCCATTTTTTTGCCCAGTGAGAGCTCTACGCTCCTTTATGGCCAGAAATGGTACAGTCCACAACTCCACCCTGAAGCCTATGAGCAACTCGTCACGGGAGTCTTTTGACTTACCTGCGTATGTTTGTGAATGCGCCCGCGGATGTAGGTATGTGCACGCCCTGATTCCTTTTGTCTCCCGAATTGCTCTGTGCAATTTGATGTCGGACTGTCGAGGGTTAAATTCATCCAGTCCGACTTTTAAGCCGAAAAGGAATGGCCAAGAGTCGTTTCGTTAGGGGGACAGTGAGCGAGGAGCACAAAGACGGTTTGATGCTATTTCGTATAGGTTGAAATAGCCAGCTCGGTTTTTTTTTTTTTTAAACAGGCTGTGATCAGTTCACACACGCTGCTAGAATAGGCTGTGTGTGTTAGGAGAACCCAACCTTTGACTTTGATATGTTGGGTGAACCTGTTCAAAATAGAAGAAGCTTCTTGGATGAGAAGCAAAACTCTTCAAAAGGAAAAAACAAGAAAGTCCAGCTGCCTCCTGAAAAAGCACCTTTGGGACAACCATGACTTGGATGACTGTGAATCTCTACAGACTTTCAGCTATACAATTTGAGATGAACACCCTTTGAATGGTGTGGGAGTAGGAATGGATTCCCAGAGGAAATAAAATTGCAGACTACAGGATACAGGAACCAGGAGCACTACTCAGGTGACCCTGAGGACACAGATAAGCCTCCAAGTGCTTCAAGGACCCTCTAAAACAGGAGTGTCAAACTCGTGGGCCAGATGCGTCATGTGCTGGCCCAGCCCCCGCCCAGTTTAGTGAAGGGGAAAAAAGTCCTGATAAGTCACGTGATGCCACCATGATGATGTGAGTTTGACATCCCTGCTCTAAAAGGATGCAAATGACCAGCTGTCTGCAAGGAATATAAATCCTTCCATTCCCCACTTTCCTGCCAGAGCTGAAGAAGCTTCTTGGATGAGAAACCAAACGTCTCCAAAAGGAAAAAACAAGAAAGTCCAGTTGCCTCTTGAAAAAACACCTTTGGGACTATTCAAAATGGGTTTGTGTGTGTGTGTGTGGGGGGGGAGTTGGTGGGTTCAGGCAGAGCACTTAACTTAATTGTTTTGTGTGCCTGGGAGTAGTCTGACATATTTATGTTTTGTGTCTGAAGGATTCTCTTGTAAACATAGATAGCTCCCTCAGAAATACATCCCAATTTAACTAGCCGGATCTTTGTGTGCATTCCAGTAGAAATACCTGAAGTAACACAAAGCATGTGATTCAGAGAGCAAATAGGGCAGCCCCACATAGTTCCCCACTCTTCAATCCACCCACTGGAGCACAGAGATAGTTTTTACAAACAGATATATTGCCAGAGCCCCCAAATAAGAAAAAGTTAACATTACCTCTGGAACAGCTAGCCAGTTCTATAGAGACATCCTTGGATTCTTTAGAGTTTGATGGTTCGCGCAGAAACAAGGATATTAACAAACTCGTTTTTCCAGTGACCTCATCATCCTTGCAGGCTGCAATCTGAACATTTGTTTTCAAGGGACCAAACTCACGGTTTGCCTGGCTCCAAGCTCACAAAATTTGGACTTCCTGTTATATCTCCTATGAAAAAGGATCTCAGGACAAGTCCAGACTTGCTGTGCTGTTGAACTGCCTTGAGTTGTCAGATGATTATACAGTCATCTGTATAGATGGTTATGCTAAATACAGCATAACCTTTGATTAGGACTCTTTACCCTGTTGTTTTTAGGGAACATTTTTATTTATTTTCATCATGCTTCTCTTTAGAGAGAATGTTTTGGGATGGGTGAGTGTGCCAACAGTAGGCAGGGGTGTAACCACAGCCCAAATGGAGTGGAATGGAATAACTGGGTTTTTTTCTCTTTCCCCCTCTGTTTAGCAGAGTGCAGAGGAAAGGATACATTCAAATTGAAGCTTTGCTGAATTTCATGAAGCCTGACTATCATCAATACCTATGCCCCCAATAAAACCCTTTAAAATAAAGGTTAAGGGCCCCTTCACTCCATGTCCCTGTTTTACATATATCCTACACCAGGGGTAAGAAACTTGCGGCCTGTGGGCCGGATGCGTCACGCTCTGGCCACGCCCACCCCCATTTTAGCGAAGGGAAAAAATGTCATGATACGTCACATGACGACAACGTGATGATGCGAGTTTGACACCCCTGTCCTACATAGCATTATCTTTTTGGCACACAAGGTAGTCTGATGGGGCCTGATTAGCACATGCTCACTTTTTTCACCTTTTCTGTAGATAATCAAGTTACGTGTGTGTTAGAAAAAAAGTATGTATGATCTGTTCTGGGCCAGGTAAATGAGCACAGAATGCCTGCTTGAAGTGGAGGTAGAATTTGACAGCAGTATTAAGATCCTATTAATCCTCCTGCCCTTGATGCTAATAAAAGACACGGAAAGTGAGTCCCATTGCCCCAACAAGTCTTTTATTTCTAGTGGCTTTGTTCAGTTTGAAGGTAGGAAGAGAGTTTCTAGTATCCTCTGGTTAGTTTATGGGTCTCTGATGAGCTGAATAGGAGATATTCAGGTGGGTGTGTGGGTCTCATTGCTGTGGTCTACTTCAGACTTCATGTATAAACAATGGATCCAGGAGTCTTGCTCTGCTATTTTGGGGGTGATCTGGGCTGTCAGAAGGACTCGGTAGGGTTTTCTTCTGGTGAAGGACTGTATCCATACCCAATGTTGTGCTTTGAAGGGACATAAAACATCTTTTAGTGACAAGGTTTGATCTGAGCACTCCATAGTCAGGCCAATTATGCATCTCAAGTAAGTCACCTCCTATGTAAGATATTGTAAGTTTGTAAGTGTTGCTTTGTGCCTCCTGTCAGCTAGACAAGGCAGCAGATGCTGTGGGTTGATGATGCAACAGTCATCTTGGGAGGGTGAAGCCAGCAACAGTCACCCACGTACTAGATGAGGATGAAGCCACAAGGAAAGGCCTGCTTTTAGGATTTATGAAAAGAGAGTGGGTGATTTGATGTCCCCCTGAGGCAATGGTGTCCATGCATATGGCTGACCTTTACCTGTGAAGGTGAAAAGATATTAGGAAGCTGGATCTACAGGGATGCTGAAAAAAGTGGCACAGAGATCAATGACAGTGAAGTAAGTGGTGGAAGCAGGAATCATAGTCATGAATGTGGCTGAGTTTGGCACCGTGTGGGATGATGTAGGAATTAATATTCCTCAGACTGTGAACAAAGCAAGAAGTTGGCTACCTGACAGCATCTTTCTTAGGTTTTCTTACAGTGAAGATGGGGGTGTTGCAGAAGGAGGTCCAAAGATTGGGGTGTTGTGCAGGACCTCTTGTGCCAGATAGGCTTTAATCAATATGTGTGTGTGTGTGTCTATATATATATATATATATATATATATATATGTATGTATGTATGTATGTATGTATGTATGTATGTATGTATGTATAAAAGCTGTTACTTCATTTAAAAAAAAAAGAACACCCCCCCCCTTTGCTATGTTTTTGTGGTTATAATTGAGTTCAAAGTATTTATGAAGAACAGAAACAGGCACTACAATTTATAATATTTTAAATTGAGCTCTTTTAAAAAGTGGTGATCTTCCTCAGTTTTTAAACATTTAAAAACCATTGCTGGAAGCATACCTTTTATAAAAAGGAGATAGAAGCAGAGAAACGGAGTCGTATCAATTCGGTAAAGTAATACAATGTTATCATGACCCTGCTTGGGGCTGGATAAATCAGTTGAGTGCTTTGCAACAACCCTGAAAAGTAGACAAGTGATGATACTGAATTTCCTGTGTTTACTGTAGGTGTAAATACACCTACAGCAATGTAGCTATAGTTGATTGCATTAGCAATGCAGTTTGCTAATGTTAATTCATATTAATATTAAGTTGTTGATAAACAGAATAATAGAGTTGGAAGGGATCTTGGAGGTCTTCTAGTCTGCACTCTGCTCAAGCAGGAAACCCTATATTATTTCAGACAAATGGTTGTCCAGTCTCTTCTTAAAACCTCCATTGTTGGAGCACCCACAATTTCTAGAGGCAAGTCGTTCAGGGGTGGGTTCTAAATTTTTTTACTACCGATTCTGTGGGTGCATGGCTTATTTTGTGGGTGTGGCTTGATGAACATGTGACAATTCTTTAGGATTTAGCAGAGGTATTGGTCTACTAGGCTTTTAACTGCTTGCAGAGCTGTACCGATCTACTCATTTTGTTTTTGGTCTACCCATGTATTTTTGCAGGCGCTGGTCTACCCATTTATTTTTGCAGGCACTGGTCTACCTATTTATTTTTGCAGGCACTGGTCTACCTATTTATTTTTGCAGGTACCAGTCTACTCATTTGTTTTCTTTTACGACTGATCAGCTGTAGGGGGGCCCTTTGAAGCCCCAGGGCAAGAGTTTAAACAGTTTTTTTCCTCTAGCCGATAGCTGGGACTCAGGAGGCAGCAATAGATTGGGGGTGGGGCCAAATAAAAGGTAA